GGGGTCTTTAAGAAGAGGCTGGATGCCCACCTAGCTGGACTCGTTTGAGTCCCATTTCTCTTTTTGGGGTTTTTGTTGTTCTCCCGCCCTGGCGGGGGGTCGGGCTAGAAGATCTACTAGGTCCCTTCCGACCCTTAATCTATGAATCTATGAATCTATGAAAAAGTAGTCCAAAATAATCCCTCAACCTGATCCTAAGGTTCTCATGAGTGTTTTGTTTCATAAATTACAGTGTTAGAACATAAGAACTGGCATGTGACAGTAGGTATTATAGCCCTCATTTAATGGCATGATCAGATCTGACTCCCAATCCCAACAATCTTACCTCCTGACATGCCACACATGCATAGCAGTAGGTGCAATTTTGAGATGCAATTTTGAGTGTAATCCAAATTACACTACGATTACTTGTCAGTGCAGTGGGGAGGCCAGGATTAAAATCCCAAGCTGCCCCTGCACCAGCAAGTTGGGCTGAGGCCAGCAATCACTTTAAATACATTTTCTTTTCTTTGAACTTTCTTTGAACTTTTCTTTCTATCCCATTCTTTGCTAGTATCTGTCAACAAGGTATTGAAAAAATGTTAAATCTGTTATATGATGTGACTTATTTTGACCTCTGCATAGTAAGTGGACTTGAGAATCCTGACACTACGTGCCTCCTCACTCCCCAAGGTGATCCAGGGGAGTGGAGCAGTGTCCCAGAGCTGGCGGATCCTCATTTTGGGCAGGCAGAAGCTCCTCCCCTAGATGAGGCAAGGCAGGGATGGAGGCTGGAGTGGGGGGCTAGCGTGGGCTCCACCGGCTCCGGGGAAGTACTCCACACCCTGGCCCTGATGTGGGGGAGCAGAGCACTTCCCCGGAGCCAGCAGAGCCTGCACCAGGCTCTCGCCCTCATCTTGCTTCAGCTCCTCTCCTGGTGCATGGCCTTGAAAAGGTTGTGTGCGGCCACACTTTTAGTTGTACGCGACCACGCACACGCACACCTTAGAGGGAACCTTGTTTGAGATTGTCCAAACGTACATCATTAATGCATTTCTATGTATTTTTTACACTTTGTTTCCAGAAAGGTTTTTATTTTGTTTATATTTTGAGAAGGAATACAGAAGAGTAATTATTTTGTGCCAGAGTTAACGTTATTGCATCATTGTGAACTATACATTCTATGTACATCACAGAAATTATTTTCCTTATGTGCATAGTTTACAGAACTTATTGCAAACAAAATATATCACAAAATATATAAGCAACTTACATTGCAAAGTATGAATAAAGATAACACATTGCATTTGCTATTAAAGCAAAAAGTGGAGCCTGATACAAAGGGTAAGTAGGACATTAAACCGGTGAGGTCTCACAAAGAATCTTTTATGTTTATATTTGACACAGAATTCTAAGTCTCTGATATGTTTTTGTCAGTGTCAACATCCACTTCACTAAGATTTTTTTCTGAGAATTGACTATTTAGCTAAGCTTTCTGAAAATAACTTTATACTTTTAAACAAAAATGTAACTGCTTCCCAGTATATATATGTATATATATATGTATATATGTATATGTGTGTGTATGTGTATATATATATATATATACATATATATATATAATTTTTTCTGCACAAGTTTGATATATACCAAACTGGGAAGCAGTTACATTTTTGTTTAAAGGTGTAAAGTCCTTTTCAGAAAGCTTAGTTAAAAAGTAGATAGATAGATAGATAGATAGATAGATAGATAGATATTATTTTTTTCTGCACAAGCTTGATATATATAAACCATGCAGAAACTGTTTTATAATTGGTAGAAACCATTTTAAAGAAAAAATCAATAATATTTGGGGCCTTACCTTCACAGACAGGCTGTATACCAGACCATGAACTGTTAAGCAGACAGGTTCGTTCTGCAGATCCTCTTAGTTGATACCCCATTTCACAAGAAAACCGCAATAGACTTTTTATTTTAAATTCATCCCCAAGCCTTGACCCATGAGATGGCACTCCTGGATCATCACAATACCCAGGATTATTTCCTATAAAACATACAGGCAATAGAATTAATGGCAAGTAAATTATATTCAACTGTATATGCAGTAAGCACTCTTGCTTGAGAAATTGGATTGCTTCTGCTGTGAGTGACTGTTTTGCTTTCATTTAGTGAATCTAAATAAAAATGAGACAACTAAATAAGACTTAAATAAAGTACATATTGGGCACATATACACATGCACTAATGTGCCGTAATAACAGATACTAACTTACTGCACCGTAATTGGTACTACTGCACAGTAGCACCAGTGCACATCTTTTAGGTGAAGCTAATGAGCAATAGACTAATTCTACTGAGCATTAGCATGGGTTTTGCCATGATACACTAGTAGAATTAGTCTGCTACACTTCTAGTGTCTCATGTAGTTGTGCCCACTTAAACATAAATGTGAAATGAGGAATACAAATAAATACAAAAATATATTTGTTGTGTGACCAATTATTTCTTTACTATAACAATGTTCCATTTTTTCAGTTTTATTATTCAACATTTACGCTGTAGTATATTTATAATAATAAAAGTAAGATAACAGCAGAAGTGGAAAGAGGCCTATTTAGGTATGTAGAAAACATAGTTTGACATGTATGTATCCATAGACAATTAAGGAGTAAATACTGACTGGTTCTATGTAGTTGTACCAAATAGAAAAGGATTCCATCTATCCTTTTTGAAAGAGGCAAGGGTATATAGGATATTTTCCTTTATCACTTGTACTGCTATGGAGGGGCTGATCACAGTTTTAATGGGAAGAGGAGGCAATATGATAGATTCCTCAAAAAGTCAAGTGCTGGAGCTCTTTTTCACTGGCCAGCCAGCTTGTCAATGACTTGGGAAGCTATCTTCTGAGTCCTAAGAGGGAATGCTGCTATCCTGAGTGCAAATTCTCCCAAATCTCACATTGCTTGGTACTGCTGCATCAATGCCACCATGGAAACTTGGTCTTAAAGACTTAAAGTCACAATATAATCCTAATTGAAATATCTTTTAGGCAACAGATGAGAGATTACAACAAATGATGTAAGGCATCCATCAGCCAATATATATGTTCTGTGAGAAAGAAGTTTGATTGCAGGTGCCACTAAGCCAAAAATGTAGAAGATGATGTCTTAACCTGTACCAAAATGTCCCTAGGAAATTAATAGGAAATGACAAGTTCACCATGATTCTTTTAACTATATTATGAAATTTAATGTACAATTACATTTCTGCTATAAAACACTATATGATCGTTCATAACCACTCTTGAAAGATTATTTTCTATATAATTATACAATTTTAAAAGCAATTTTTTTGCAACGCAGTTGAATTTCTATGGAACTGAGTTTGTTTAATTTTCATTGTTTGTTATGAGGTTTTCTGTTTTTAATCAAGGGAAACAGGTTGGGTAAAAATCTGGTTCCACTGAACTCTCCTGACTTCAGTACTGCCTAGAGATCACCCGTTTCATTTAAAGCTGACTGAGAGTGTGGAGACATGCAGAAAGTCATAATAATCTGGAAAATATCACGGATATGAAATATATAAGCTAAGAGCATTTGTGTCATGTACAGAGCCTTACAGTTTTATATAATGTTGCTAACATAAGGAAGAGTACTTTTTAATGAACTTTTACTACATGGTTTATCTGACTTTTATTGTGCATAATTGGTCTTGTAGGTTCTCATCCATGTTGTAAAGTAACTGTCTGTAAGTGCTGCACTAGCTCTTTCCTTTACAATTACATATTGTTATGATAATAAAAAATGCCTTGAACAATGATTTTATGTTATACTAGAGTTTATCTCTGACTTCAGAACAGACCATTATAGGTAAAGTAAAGAAGGTTGTTAGAAATGAACAAGTACAGTTGCATAAGAAGGTAAGACTACCTACAATTGAGCATAGCAATGAACACCCTTAAGTTATATTGCATGCTATGAATACAAAGGAGAAACTCCTTCTAAAGCCTTATTCTTATGCACAGTGGATGGGCAGTTTAAATCTACGTTTTCCATACTATTCTATTTTAAAAAAAATTACCTTATCTTTTATTTAATTTAGCGATCTTTTCTTGGACCTTCCTCTTAGTCTAACACAAGGAACATCGCTATTAATCAGTTTCCTAGTTATATTCCCTTTCTCTGCCCTTCCAATATCTGCATAACATTTCAGACATTTTGTTCATAAACATTTACCAACAGCTATTACTTGTGAAATTGTTCTTACTTCCTAATTTTATTTTCTTTTTATTTAATCAGGTTACCACATGCATTCTAATGGTGTTACTTTAATCAATGCCCAATATTTTAAGCCATAGAATATTATATGTCTTATCACCATTCTGTAGATCTGGTTATTCAAGTTGCACAGCATTCTTCTATTTTAAATCATCCTCCATTTTCAACTCATAATCTAGACATCTTTTTATTCATGTTTTAATCCAGGTACTTATACAAATGAACCTCTGTTAAGTTTCTATTCATACCTATTACATCTCCATGTAAACTTACATATACCGTAAATTCTACAAAGATCCAATCCAGTAAAGATGTGACACTACATCCTTAAACTACATTTAGAGTATCTGTGGTTGCATCTATACAAGATGCTTATGGCACAGTAGCTTATTACTACTGCACAATAGGGCTGTGCGAAGCTTCGCTTGCTGATTCAATTCAGTGAAGATTCAGCCTGATTCAGCAGCCAAATCTGAATCCAAATCAAATCAGGATGCCCTTTAATCTCTCCAGATCAAACTGGAACCCTCCAAATCAATTTGGAGACATTCAGAGAGATTCAATGATTTAGACATACCTTTAAATTTTTTTTCTGCATACCTCAAGGTACCAGGTGGCTTGTGAACGCAGAGATGGTGGGGTAGATGGAGCATCCCTTGGGAGCATGGCGGGGTCCCCAGCACATTCGGTGGCAGACCCAGAAGTGGACCAGAAGCACTTCCAGTCCATTTCCGGGTTCACCACTGAGCATGTGGGGGTACCCCTATACTCCTGTGGGACAATTCATCCACCCCACCCTCTGAGTGTTCATGAGCCACACCTGGTACCTTGAGGTATGTAGAAAAAACATTTAAAGCTCTGTCTATGGCCAAATCATGGATTTTCTGAATCAGTATTGAATCTTCAGATTCAGATTTGGTCAAATCGAATCTTGACAGTGATCTGAATCAACAAATTGAATCACTGTCCCCCAAAATGGGCCAAATCCAAATCGAATCCGGACAGCTTTGCACACCCCAACTGCACAGTAGCATCACTGGGCACAAACTGTGATGCAACACTACTGCGTAGTAGTAATGACCTACCATGCAATAAGCATCATTAGGCAACTGTGCTGAGATGCTACTGCACAGTAACGCTGGTTACTGAGCAATCATTTAGTATTTGGTTATGGAAGTATTAAATGACTATGTGGTAACAACTGTGAAGTCAGCATCTTGTGTAGATGTGTCCTGTATATATATTATATTTCTACCTATTTATATATTTGTCTGTGGGCCAGAAATAAATCTTATTTAGAGACATATTACAGGTTTTCAAACACTTTATTGGAAATTTTTAAAATACTGTATCCTTCCATTTGTAAACCTAATTAGATATCTTAGTTGACATGGGTCCACTCCTGCATTTGGTGATTTAATTAATAAAAATGATTCATATTATCTATTAATAAAGTCAGTGGAAATTATACATAATATATTTGCCAGTATAATTCTGAATCCTTTAAAGGATTCCAATACTTTTTATTTGGTTGGTTGGTTTTTAAATCAAGTAACCACAGAATAGTTTCCCATTCCTTCTATTAAAATTGAATTATCCTACCCATTCCAAATGAAACAAAATGAAACAAAATGCTACTCCAAGTCACATCTAAAGACAAGAAATTCAATTCCGCTCTTTACAATTAGAGTACACTCATTTTTCCACCAAAGTTGATGATCATAATGGTCCTTTCTCACCTAATTAAATATAAACCCATTAAAAACTGTGATACTGAAGTCCAATACATCAAGGCCTTGAAGGTCTGGAAACAAAAACTTCCTCCCACCAAAATCAGGTTTTTGGTAGGATGCAGTATTTACCACTAATTTTAGAAACATATGTGATAAAGACATTCTCAAGTTATAACATGAAATCCTAACCTTAGCTCTGCCCTCTCTGTACTGGAAAAAAGGGATGAGGGTCACAAAAGGCTTTTAAAATCCAGTTCTGGGTGAGTACTATGGTCCCCAACCCGGGTAAAATTAAAAACCTGTATAGGATTTTTTCCAAGCAACATGACAGGCAAGACCTGACATAATGTGACAAGCTGAAAAGAGAGGTTGTACCTTGTGGTACTGAATAGGTCCTAGGCACTGCAGACACTCTGGGAGCCTGTTGTAACTTAGTTCCTCCAAAGTAGCCCACAACTGACATAGGACAAACTAACTCTCTACTCTTCTACCCGCTGGGCGAGTTTTAGGCTGAAATATTTCAAAGCCAACATAGGATTTACATACTTAATTGACATTTAAATTAATCAGCATGGGGTGCTCAAATCCCCCAGAGTAGTTTGAAAATCACTGCTTTAACAATATAGAGAAGCTACATTAGATTCATTTTGGATATGAGGACATACCATATTGAGTCAGGTCAGTTTTTGACAGTAGCCAGAACCAAATAGTTTAGAAGACAACATAAAACTCTGTAATATACCATTATAAAATAAACAGACCATTTCTAAGTAACCCTGTTAGTTAATGGTTGGTTGATGACCTATGCCTATGAGTTACTCTCCCTTATTATTATACCTCCAATATCATTATTGTTGGCATTCTGAATAATGAGTTGTTTTCATGACCTGACTCAACTCTTATCTGAGAGATATTGTGGGCTATGAAGTTTTAGAGTAAGGCCCCTGGGCTTTCCACCTGCTTCTCCTGCAGCCTGGAAGTTTGCAGAGATTTACAGTGTTTGGCAGTTGTGGTACAGATAACACATGTAGCAGTAAGTGGAAATAAGAAGTAATAGAATGTGAGTGGTTTACTTTTCATTGACATTGTGGACTTGTGCTGGTCTATTACATGTGTGATGATCTTAATACTCACAAAAATGTGTATGTATAAAAAAAAGCATAAATTTAATGGGAGGCAAAACTATGCAAGTATGTAAATGTGTGGGGGGGGGGTTGTTTTTTTTTTCCTGTCACTACCTACTGGCAATTAGCCAAACATATTAGATAGATAGATAGACAGATAGATAGATAGATAGATAGATACTTGAATAAGTAGCTATAATTCAACTTAGTGGCTATTGGTATAATAGAGTTGCACCAAGAAAAGATTTAGCTGCAGTTTAATTCTGCTTCCTGAGAATAGTTTCAATCATTTTAATTACAAGGTCACATTCAGATGACAGCTTGCAGAACTACCTGAGCAGTGTGGGAGAGTTCCACTCCAGTGACTATCTTCTTGGCACACTCTGGTAGAATTTCCTATGAGAGTTCGACCTGCTGCGCATGAATAGTGAACTTTGGACCCATATGTAAATTTGTCTCCTGAAAGAATTGCATTGGCAGGAACTCCAGGATGTCCACAAGAAATGGCTGCAAAGAAAGATCAAAATATCCCTGGGTTATCCACTTCTGCTTTACAAAAAGTGTGTCAAACCTTTAAATATGAAGTATGGCTGGAATGTTTTTTTCAGTCATGTGCAGAAAATGTGCAATAGGCAAAGGCTTTTTTATTGCATTGACCCAACTGTTTAGTTGGGAGAAATATTGAACAAGCTTTTGGGCACAAAGTATCTTTTGTTAGTATCTTGAAGAAAGGTATTTTGTGCTTGACAGCTTGTCCAACATCTCTCCGAACTACATAGTGGATCTAGTAAAAGATATAGAAAAACCCTTGCCACTTGTAGTTTAAATATGAAGGTGTCTCCTAAATAAGTATACGTCTGGGATCCTGTTCTTCATATGTCTAATTTTTGGTTGCTCTGTATGATGTATTTGTCTCTTGCAATGCTAAAGGCAAGAATTATGTTTAAAACCATGTCTTGCACTTATCTTTCCTTCAATAATTTCTAAACGTATACAACACTCTCTCATGTAATCCTGTAAACTGGATTCGCTGTATCTACAGGGAGGGAAGGAACAAAAAGAAGCTATTAATGATTATTAATACTGTTAAAAACTTGGGAGGCACTTGAGTTTAGAGACATTATAATGATAAGGAACTATTGAAGAATTTATAAAATAAAGGACAGATACATTTTATAGAGATAAACGATAATGCTTATAATATTATCATAGTAATATCAGTGAATGACACAAAATTAATTACCTGATTTTCAATTCATGCATTTATTTATTAATGCTCTTGAGTAAAAATTTCTATAAGCAAAATTTTGTTGGTAAAAATGTTCTTGTGAAAAAGTTATTTCAACTCAATAGCTGAGATTTGAGTTAATCAGGAAATAAAATTCTCAAACATGCTGAAATGAAACTTACATCTATAAAAATGTGAAAGTTTGACTATTTAACTGGGAAAAAAAAGCTAAGAGAAGAGATTCCTTCATGACTTCTCCAGGAAAATAAACAAACGTAAAACTTACAAAAAAAAAGAAATTAGGAGCATAGAATTTTTTTTCAATATTAAGGATTAAGTGCTTGTGAATGATCCACATTTTAAAGCAGGTATTCAAATAATTGTGGCCCATGAAAAAATATTCTAATAACTGTGATTGTTAGAAGATTATGTAGGAAAAGAAGTAAGATAAAAATGTATCAAAATTCCTTGCAGTTCAAGAAGTCATAATAATTTTAGAAAACTGTTATGGAATTACTATGATAGGCAAATGGGAAACATAATTTTAAGGCAAATAATTCATGAGTATAGCTTTATACTGAAAATAACAGGATTTTCTTCTTTCCTGAAGAACAAGAATTGGTTGTTTGGTTTTTTTCAATAAAGCAACTCCTGTACTATACTGTGTATCCTGTATTGTTTGATGTTTATAAACCTATCCCACCTCTGACCAAAAATAAAGGTTTTATACTTGGTGTTTCCTATTGACAGGCTGAGTCCCCCCCCGATCAGTGTGTTGAATATTCCAAGGCATCTAACTCTCCCCATTTAAAGTCTACTAAATTTAGGGTGTAGTTACACATTACACCTAAACCAAACTATATCTGTGAAATGTTAAGTGGAGTTTAAATTACACCATGCTGTGAGCAGCTGCACAGCTCTGATTTCCCACTAGAAGGCAGGAGCATGACTAGGAACTGGACATCTGGGCTCCCGGGGAAGTTATACACCTGTTCCAGATGTGGGGGGTGGCCCTTTAATTAGTGCATCTCCAAGATCCACTCTAATTAAAGCACCATAGAATCTCATGTATCAGCATCCCTGCACTTAAAAATGGTGATAGTGGCACTTAGCCTAAAGCTTATTAGATGTCACAACCTCTGTGCTCATGTACAGGCACCCTATATCTGTTCATGGAGCTGGGGGTGGACAGGGCTGAGAGAAGTGCATTGAGGGATTCTGGAGGACTGCTAATTTTTCATTTTATCTCTGTGGATCAGACTGAAGTTACCCTCCATGTAGTACATTGAAGTTACTGAAGTCACAGACCAGAATTAACTGTGGCATAACTTTGAGATATTCAGAGGGCATTTAGCTCCAGGTAACAAGCTTTAATGTGCATCCACGCACATTTTAGATGTCCTTAGTGTGGTCTAAGTGTAATGTGTAACTTCACCCTTAGGTGTTTAACTTGATTTGGAGAATTTCACTCCTATATGTACAGAGGTATAGGTTGTAGCCATGTTGGTCTAAAGACATAGGCAGACTAGGTTCTTTGGGTCAATCTGATACGTTTTATTAGACCAACTCATTATTATGCTACTGGCCATCAGTTACCTATAGAACATAGAAATGGCTAATTTCAATAGTACATCAGAAATAGCAGAATGGTGCCAAATTCAGCTCTCTGTTACACAGAAAACTGAATTTGTCCACATCTCTGGGGCACTGCTTCTATCATACTTGTGTTAGATGAGGGCAGGGGGTTAGAAATAGAAGGAGGGCCAAAAAAATATTTTATCTAAATTTTACATGGAAGGGTACATACTTGTGCACATAGAATGGTCTGACGGGAGGATGATTTTTATACAATACAGGCACTTTCCTTTTGTCATTGGTAATCTGATTTTTGGAGTTGCTAAGGATCCATAATTTATATGGACTCCCACTTCAATTATGAATGCTCAGTACTTCTGAAAAACTTACCCTGGGGTGCCTGGCTAAATACACATACATACATACACACAGGCATGCACACAGGTTATAAAGAAAATGGATTGAATTTGCTTCATTTAATTGGAAAGGTGACATATAGTTACATGCTGGTAAAATAAAACATTAAGTAATCAGTGGAAGATCTCTAAAGCAAAGATTAAACAATTTGGTTAGCTTGCAAATAATATTCTTTTTTATTGTAATTATAGTGCATCAGAGCAGACTCGATTAATCAAATTTGGTTTTAATGTATTTCTACTAAACTGCACAGTTTAGGTTGTGCTGGTAACACAACCCAGAAAAGTTTCCTAATATACATGGTTGAGAGTTAAATAATTTTTTGTGTCATTCTGACATTTAATGTAAACCTGTTTTAATGAATACTTACACAAACATTTTGGTAGTGATCTATCCCATAAGCCATTAGCTTTACAGGTCAAAGCAGATGATCCTAGGAGGTAAAATCCTTTCTTGCAATGGTATGCCACACTGACTCCATACTTGAAACTTTCAGGATAATTCTGTTGCCCATGACGAATAGCATTTTCTACAAAGCCGGGATCTGAACAGTTCACCACTACAAAACAATCATAATGTTTATGATGTACAAGTATAACATTGTAAATGAAAATCAGCAGAAAATACTTCATATTATTCAATTAATAGAACATAAGAAAGGTTTAGGGTCATGAATTTGGTCATGGTCCAGAAATTTGCCCAGACCTAATGGTTCTTGAAATTCACCAGATTTTCCCCCCAGTAAGCCTCCAGGCCTTTTTTGAAAATAGTTTTTATGTGAACATACATTTTTTCCTAACAGCCCTGGTTACTAGAATTGCTGTTCAGGGTTTTGGTGGCTTTATACTCCTTGAAAGGTCACAGAATTAAGTATTTTCTAAAATTATTATGTTTAACCAAAACTTTGACTAATTACTAAAAGGAAAGCTATTTTAAACACGGTACCAATTAAATCTTTACAATACAGTAGTAATTTGCCTTGACAGAATAGGAGAAAAAATGCCACCCTTCTGGGAAATTGTCTTATGCTGTTGTTCAGAACCTCTAAAACTCATATTTTGTATAAATATTTTGTATAAAACAACGGTATAAAACTAATATGGCAATCTTCATATCCAACATTGTGCAGGAAAGCACACAAGTTAAGGAAAAAAAGTTCTTAACTCCTGCCAAATATAAAACATGGCAGATTTTGTTTATGATTCTATAAACCTTATTAAATCTGAAGGTTTATAGGTTTTGTTCAAAAGTGAATATACAGTAGATATAAGACAAGATCTATTTTTAACCTTTGGTCTAAGGTTATTTTCCTATATTTCACACTAAACACATATTGGATAAAATCCATAAATCAACAAGGGAGCTAAGATTAGAACCACATTCACTATACCCAGGTGAATTCTTGAGTAGAGTATCTCATTCTTGATCTGCCTAGGTCTGCCTAGGTAGGCACTAGGTCTTTTCTGTGAGTCTGGGTGTGTCTACATGAGATGCTACTGTGCAGTCATCACTGCACATCTATTTAATAGTTAGATTAGCAAATACTAAATAAATGCGTAGTAACCAGAATTACTGTGCAGTAGTGCCAGAGAACATCTTTTAGGTGATGATATTATGCAGTAGCCTAATTGTACTGCACAGTAGCATATTAGCGCTCTCCATGCTCTACTACACTACTGTACAGTGATTTTCAGCTACAATCAGTGTCTCCTGTAGTTGTGCCCTTTAGGTCTCTGTATATTACTTACAGGAGTAGCTGCTTTCCAAACTTTGTGTCATATTTCTAGGATAGTAAAAAAAAAAAAGCTATTCATTTAATTAATACATAGAGGTCTTCTCTAGTATTAGGTCAAAGTGGCATTCTGTTTCATTACTCTTTGTTGTTGTGGGGGAAAAAATTAAGTGGTGATTGTGAGGATTACTTCAATAACTACTTGCAAATAACTACCTGCAAATGCAGGGGCGTGCCTGAATGGCCCATAGCAGCTGTTGCAAGGTTCCTATGACAAGATAATCATAAAAACTTTGATGTAGAAAAATAAAGTCTTTGTACTAAGTAGCTGCTGCTCTTTAGGGTTTTTATTTATTTTTTAAATAACAGATGAAAATAATGGAATATTCCAAGCACCATGTACAAATGAGAAGACATTTGGAAAATCTGAATACTACTACTAAAGGCCATGAAATAATATAAAAACAATGAAATATTAGAAAAGTAAAACATACAATAAAATAAAATTTAAGATAAAAAATTAATTTTGTAGTGAAATTTTAGAGTTTTTCCAAAGCAAAGTGTTTGAAAGAACACCCGCTTCATTTTTTAAGAGAAATTTAGCAAAATCAAAATTTCACCAGAAAAGCTGATGTTGCAACACCCTATTGAAACATTTTCCAGCATTTTTGTGTCTTTTTCGCCCTGACCAACAATAATAAAATATTCAAACACTGAAGGAAGCGGGATGAGGGGAGGGGGGAAACAAAATATAGTTATATTCAGCCTATTAGGGCTGGACCCGATGATCATTCAGGGCCCCTTCCAGCCCTGTGATTCTATCTTTCTATATTTGAAAACTTGCTAACAGACAGAGAAGCAATTTTTTCCCCAAAATTCTTCCAGGACTTATCATTTCCTCAACTTTTGAACTGGATCTCATGTTTCAGGAATTACTTGTCATAGCTATCTACTTGTATTACATTTTCAGTGCAATTCAAATGAA